TATTCTTTATCCTTAAGCTGTCTGAAAAATTATTTTACTGATTTTGGGAGTCAAACGTGAACGATTGTCCTGAACAGGTTGCAACTCGAGTGGAGTGAGGGTGTAATACCGCGCTCCTTTCCACAAAAAGGAACTTGAAAACAGTTGTTTTGTTTATTACCAATGTAAACAACGTAAGAGTAGTCCGAGAGTAAGAACAAAGTGAATACTAGATTGTTCAGGTTAAGAGTCTGCGTGATCTGTTCACAATGCCCATCGAACAGCTCCATACAGCCGTTGGATCTCATGCCGATAAGCTGCACGTCTTCGCGAATTTCGACTTCAGTGCATCCGAATGAGAAGAGAAACCAGCGACTTCTCCTTCCTTGGGACTTTTTAACCGATATTGTGAAAAGACTCCCTATGTTTTGTAACTGATTCACAAATTGCAATCACTTTTCAGTTTTTATCAAGTTTTCTCTTACAGTAATCCGGTTAATTACAAAATTATTGTACTTAAATATTGTACTTTTCCAAAGTCATAGGTCGCGCTAATTGTGGAGGGACGGCCATAAGGGCAGGCCCTAGGATCTCATCCAATAGGTAGAGAATTGGGCGTCAGCTCAACCGCTGTGGTAGGCTTCCTCAGGTCCATCCCCATCGCCAGTCCCCCGTCCCATCGCGAATTCTGATTAATTTTAATATGATTACTTACTGTTTAGCAAGAACTGGTTGTTTACCTCATGATAGCTTCCATAACTTCCTGGGGCTATTGTATTTCTAGTATTTCTGTTTTTATCGAGGTGTCTTCAAACGGGTCAGGCATGTTCATTGATACTCTGAGGGTTATTCGAAGCTGTGCCGCTTTGTAAATTTGTAATCTAGAGAGGATATCTGTTTCGGTATGGCTTCACATTCTCGTACCTTCTCGGCACAGCTCTGTGTAGCCCTCGATTTTGCCAATTTTTTGAAAGTGTACGGTAGATTCAGAATATGTAGAGGTAGATCGACTAAGACTTGTCTTTTTGGGGCTAATTTCTGATCATCCTGGAAAACTGAGCCGATTTGATTTTGAAGATCTGGATTCTGAAGGAAAACAAAGAAAAAGTTAAAAGTTAGAGATCTGAATCAACTGTCTGACGCTGAATAGATTTGTTTTATGAACGTTATACAAATATTCATGTTAAAGTTTCTTTCTCGATGCATGTATTTTTCAATAAACCCTTTTTTTATTTGAGTTTTGAGTTTTTTGCAAAAATGTGGAAGCGCCATTGTGGGAATTTCTGAGAAAGGTTTGAAAATAATGTGAGGTTACTAGAGTGGAGTTGGACTTCAGATTCAAGTTTAGCTACCAATTAGTCGTAGTTGTCTGTCATTGACTAACATTTGACTTAATCGTCTTCTTCGGATGCCTAAATGGTACTTGGAATCATCTACTACACCACCCAAGGAGCGTTCAACCTGCCCTAGCAGTTCCGACGATGTTTCCGGATCTCAACAGGTAATTTTCACAACTGGAAAAACGCCCTCACAGGGGTTCTACATAGTTATGCGAGATGGGGAATCCGCCATCGCTCTTAAGCAAGGGGGCTATGGCGAGATAGATTCTTCACGGTCTTCATGGCTACAAAATTACCACGTCGTGCTGGCCCTGATTGCAGCTCGTAGTAGGGCGATATCTCCAACAAAGACCAGGGTTTTGAACAGACCCTTATCCCTGTCGTTCATTTCGGTTTTTTCTTTGAAAATCGGTAATCTCTAATGTCTTCCGTTGTTTTTCGATTAGCAGTAGTTAGTCGCCTCCCTGTTTCTCCGATATTTTTTCGTTTACTTATTTGTTTTTATTTACCAATTCACTGATTTGTTCATTCGAATATTTACTTGCTAATACATTTGTTTATAATCAGCAAATAATCTCGCCGAAATATCTGGCAAAGTCCAGGAAACTGACACCCGCATATTCCACCGCGGATTGCAGCGAATAATCAAAATCGAAAAATCAATAAATAAATGTGAGAATAAAGCTTTGGAGCGTTAATCAGTCCCGTCTAAGGGATGCGCCCACGCATTCGACTTCCCTTCAGAATCGTAGTGGCGTTTTGAATGTGTATTGGCTTATACAACGACGGTGGCCAGCTGATGTACAAGTCAGTGCTTTTATCTTCCCAGACGAGTTTGATACCAATTAACCGACCCCAGCGAGATGGGAGGCTTGGTTGGCCTAGGCAGATATCGATCCGGGATTCGAACCCCTGACCGTGCGTGTGATATAGTGCGCCACTTGCCACTACACCATCTCCGCTCGAGAAAAAAACTGGTAATATTTTAAATTTTCATTGAATTTTCCTCCCTGGTTGGACTACGGAAGTGTCTCCTTTCAGACTGGTGCCCTGTATTCGATAGACGACTGAATC